TTAACTTATATACTTCCAAACCAAAATCTGTTTCTATAAATGTTCAATTACCTACTGGATGTTTTATTACTGCTACTCATATTGGTGATGTTAACATTAATGCTGAGCTTACTCTTCATAATGTTTTGTTTGTTCCAGAATTTACTTTCAACCTCATATCCATTTCTAGTTTAGTATCACATGAAAATATTTGTGTTCATTTTTCTTCTAATCATGCTACTTTGCAGGATACTCTCACCAACAAAATGATTGGTTATGCTGATCTTCAAAATGGCCTATATCTCTTCAATCCCACTACTTACTCTTTTCACACACATAGCTCTTCTATTGCTAATACTGTTCAAAGTCAATATACAGATTCTAAATCTGATATTTGGCACTATAGACTAGGTCATTTACCTTTTAATAAACTGAAAACTCTTGTTGATTGTAACATTCAACAGCATATGAATAAAACTAGTTCCTGTGATATTTGTCATTTTTCTAAACAAAAGAGATTACCCTTTCTTGATAGTACTTCTTATGCTACAAATGCTTTTGATCTTGTTCATATGGATGTTTGGGGACCTTTTAGAGTACAATCATATTCTGGTTTTAAATATTTCTTAACCATTGTCGATGATCACACTAGATGTACTTGGGTTTTTATGATGAAAAATAAATCTGAAGTTAAAATTCATATGCTCAATTTTTACAATTTAGTCAATACACAATTTCATACAAAAATAAAAATTCTTAGGACAGATAATGGGACTGAATTTATCTTTCCTTCTTTTTATGCTAATCATGGCATTATTCATCAACTTTCTTGTGTTGAAACTCCTCAACAAAATGCAAGGGTTGAAAGAAAACACCAACATATACTTCAAGTAGCTAGATCTCTTTTATTTCAATCCTGTTTACCCCTCAGTTTTTGGTCTGATTGTATTCTCACTGCAGTTCACATTATAAATAGAATTCCTACTGCTATATTAAATAATAAATCTCCTTATGAGTTATTATATGGCAAAGCTCCTGATTATTCTTATTTAAGAGTTTTTGGTTCTCTTGTTTATGCCTCTACTTTAACTGCTGACAGGTCAAAGTTTGATAAAAGAGCTGTTAAATGTGTTTTTGTTGGATATCCTCTAGGGTCTAAAGAATATAAACTCTATGATATTGCTAATCACAAATTTTTCATATCAAGAAATGTTAAATTTTATGAAATGATTTTTCCCTACAAGGACATTTCTAATTCTGCTAATTCTAATTTTGATCAGACAGATACTGTTTCTGATTCCCAAACTGATGATCATTCATATCATCATAATATACCTTCTAATACTTCTAATATTTCTGATAATACCTACTTGGAAAATCAAATTAATGATGAAATTAATGGCATGACCATGGATAATTCTGCTGATAACAATGACTCTAGTGCTGTTCCAGAATATCATTCTCCAAGAAAATCAACAAGAGTAAGATCCTTACCTATTCATTTGCAAGATTACAATTATGAACTTCCTAATTCTATCACAGCAGGTATATCACCTTCTTCTTCCTTTTGTAATCTTATCAGATATCCTATTCATAATCATATAACTTCTAACAGATTGAGTCCTTCTCATTCATGTTTTACTGCAGCTCTTTCAACTATTACTGAACCCAAAACTTATAAACAGGCTGTTAAGTTTCCTGAGTGGCAGAATGCCATGTTAACTGAAATACAAGCTCTTGAGAAAAATAAAACCTGGATTTTGACTAATATTCCTGAAAATCAGAACATCATAGGATGTAAATGGGTTTTTAAAAAAAAATTAAAACCTGATGGTACCTTAGATAGATATAAGGCTAGATTAGTTGCTAAAGGGTATACCCAAGAAGAAGGTTTTGATTATTTTGATACTTTTTCCCCTGTCATAAAACTAACTACTGTCAGAATTATTTTAGCCATTGCTAGTGCTAAAAATTGGTTTTTACATCAACTTGATGTAAATAATGCTTTTTTACATGGTGATTTAAATGAAAATATCTACATGCAGCCTCCTTCAGGTTATTTGCCTCCCAATGACAATAGAGTATGCAAACTTCTCAAAAGTCTCTATGGTCTTAAACAAGCATCTAGACAGTGGTTCTGTAAGCTCTCTGAATCACTCAAACTTTTTGGATATAATCAATCACAAGCTGATTCCTCTTTATTCACTAAATCTACTAACAATTCTTTCACAGTCCTTTTAATATATGTAGATGACATAATTTTAACTGGAAACAGTATGGAAGAAATCGCTGCAGTAAAGAATTTTTTAAATAATAAGCTTACTATCAAAGATATTGGAGAATTAAAATACATCCTAGGAATTGAAATAGCAAGATCTGATAAAGGTATAAATTTATGCCAAAGAAAATATACTCTTGACATTCTAACTGAATATGGTTATCTTAATTCTAAACCATATACTACTCCAATGGATTCAAAAATTAAACTATCTAAAAATGATGGAACTGTTTTGGATAATCCTAAAACATATAGAACTTTAATTGGAAAGTTACTTTACCTAACTGTTACAAGACCTGATATTGCTTATAGTGTTCAAGTTCTCAGCCAGTTTCTTGCTTCTCCAACTAATATTCATATGAAAGCTGCTCACAGAATTTTAAGATATCTTAAAAATTCTCCAGGTAAAGGTCTCTTTTATTCTTCAGTTTCTGATTTCTCTATACAGGGATATACTGACTCAGACTGGGCTGCCTGTATTGACACTAGAAGAAGTGTTTCAGGCTATGCTTTCTATCTTGGTACTTCTTTGATTTCCTGGAAATCTAAGAAACAACAAGTTGTGAGTAGATCTTCCACTGAAGCCGAATATAGAGCAGCTGCCAATGCAGTTTGTGAGGCTCAGTGGTTATACTATATTCTTCATGATTTACACATTCAGTTTTCACTACCAATAATCATATATACTGATAACAAATCAACATATCATCTTGCTCACAACCCAGTTCAACACCAAAGGACTAAACATATTGAATTGGACTGTCATTTAATAAGAGAAAAAATTGCTTCTGGTTTAGTTGATTTGATTCACATTAACAATAGTTTTCAACTTGCAGATATATATACTAAGCCTCTTGGAAATCCTTTGTTCAACCAGTTTGTAGTCAAGATGAACATGTTGGATATACATGCTCCTCTTGAGGGGGCGTATCAAGACTAAACTACTGGACATTATTGGATCTTGGACTTCTTTGTTTATTTGGGCTTTTATTAGTTTACAAGGCCCTTATTGTATTAAGTATATATATGGTCAAACTATTGTAAATAAGGTAAATTCATTCATTCTAATAAAAGTTTCTCTTCCGCACCTAAACTCTGTAATAGAACTACGATCGTCTTCTTCAATTCAGATTTGATTTCTTGAGTTTGATTCTTCACAAATAATGAATTAAATTTATAGCACAAATACGATCAAACTCAAATATAATACTCCGTATTGTTAATGCTTATCTATATATTTGCTTTGATATATTTAAATTAAAAAAGTAAATAAAAAGCTAAGTAAACACTGATAGAATTAGATTTACTTTTGTGAAACAGTTAACTACTAAGGAATATTGCTGTTAACTTTTCTAGTAAAGATTATTTTTGTAAAATGTGTAAAAATAGAGATTATTAATGTCAATTTTGCGTAAATTAAATAAGATAATTCAAGTATGTTTTAAGAAATAATTTTGATGGATATAACTTAGAGCAACTCCATTGATGATACTCAAATAAACGATTATTTTGTGCCACATCATTGCCACATATGAAATCATAAATGATATGAAATATTCCTAATTAACTTTCTCTCAATCATGATTTTAGATTATTGTGATTTTTGTATAAAAAGTATTAAAAGAGTCTCTCTCATACAAACACATGTTTGAACGTCTAGAAATTAATGCACCAAGCCACCAAGGTTTTTTTTGTGAAAGAAAGCTACCAACACGTATAGTTACTTTGTTTTCTCCAATTTAATTTTTTTCTTTTATTCAAGTCATGAGTTGTACTATAAAAAATAATCCAACAAAAAATGTTACTGAAAATCATAACCATTCAATTTTATTAATCACATATATTAATATATACATGTATTTTTAATATGTATTTATAACCATTTCTTTTGTGGGTGCCTATTATTATTTAAATTTAAAAAATGCTAATTCAATTATTGCAATCTTTTAAAATTAAAAGGTAATACATACTTTTTAAAATGATGATGCATGCTATTCAAAAAAATGGAGCTACGTGCTATTAAAAAATGTGCTTTTAAAAAAATGAAGCTGCATATCACTTTTTTAATCAAATAATTTTTTTAAATGAACATGTACTACGGGGTAGTATGGAGGAGCAAGACTTTGCTAATTGCTACTAACTACTTACCATGAAAAGAATTAGAGGTAAATAAGGAAACAATCACACGATTATCCCAATTTTCCATATATGTTGGAGAAATCATTTAAAATAATCTGGTTTCAAAATTTGATGCTGGATTTTTTTTTACAAATAATCTTTGCAAATAATTTCTTTATCTCAATCATAATCTCACAAAAACCAGCCACCTCATCAAATTAATCTCTAAATAATCTAAACAATGGGGTTGCTCTTATAATGAAGTTATTGACGATAACTGCAATATTAAAGATGTATTGTTTTTAATACTTGATGTCTTGATTATTAATTTGTCATTTAAGAGTGCTAATTATTTCCTAAAATAGGAATGAAAAGCTTATACTGTTATACATGGAGAGAGGGAGTAGTTAGTAGCATATTATTTCTCAACGTTAAAAAAAAGATCTTGGGTTCATTCTTTTTCTTATTGGGGTGGGGTGTCCCTCATGTTACAACTTATCAGGGATTCATCATCTAATTAATTAATTAATTAATTAATTATATTCAAGAATACCTTCTTTAATCATTATTCACTTGCATGGCCAACAATGAAAAGTCGCATATTCATGAAATGAAGCAGAAAACATAAGGGAAGAGTGTCTCAAATATAATAAAACTGCATTAAGAAAAATGATGCAGGACTCACATCAGCACCATCTTAAGTTGCAGGATATGTATTTTAACAATATGTATAATTCATCATCATTACCACCACCCCAATTCCAACTATGTTGGGATCGGTGGTATACATTGTTTCTGACTGTAAAATACGTATAGAACATTGTATAATGTGTATAAAAACAATCACTCATCACTCATGCAAGAACATTAAAAAAATCCATCTGATATGCTCAAACGAAAACAAAAATTATAAGCACATAAAAGGAAAATAGGCAAGAGGGCTGCCCATCACATGATGGATTGCTGCTAGGTGTCAGCATATTGAGCAAAAAGAAAGAAAAAAGAGAAACAGTCGTGATGCCTATAATTGATGAGATCACTCTTTAATAGGCCTATAAATGAGAGGACGGTTCAACTGTATTTCCAAACGATTTGGGGACACAGCTATTAATAGTGCTTGCTTGTGCACAGGAGCTGGTTGTCACTAGTAGTTCTGCTTGAGGGAAGGAGCTGTTGTTGGATGATGATGGCACATCCAGCAGCACCAAGTCCTGATCAGAACATTCAGTGGAAAAACCACAAGAATCCAACAATAGGGAACTATTATCAGGCGGCAATTCAAACAGATGCTTCGGGCTGAAGCAACTACCATCGTTCTCAATGCCTTCCTTCTGCTCATGTGTGCCTCTAATTATCACCCTTATGGGAGGAGTCTTCATCACACTCTTTCCTCCTGCAGGAAAGGGAACATGTTTTAGAAGTGCTTTTGTATACGCCGCTGCTCCATCAATCTCCTCTCTGTTAACTGTACCTTTAAGTGTTTCTACAACTAAGAGAACTTTCATTGTTGCGTATAAGATATAAAATTGAACGTCTTTATATGACCTTTCATTTGTGACCAATGTTGTATGTGTAATATTTAAAAAATGATTAGTAACAAATCATTTAATAATCATGATAACTATTTTATATATTGGAGCAATAATGATAGTTTTTTACATCTTATATACTCATTTTGTGTTTTGAGTAATTAATACAAAAAACATTGGTATGGAAAACGTCAATAGTTATATTTTATTAGATACTCCCACCCATAAAAATTTGCCAAATTTCCTTATTTAGCCGTCCCATAAAACTTTGTCATTTCCAATTAAAGTCATAAATATATTGTTAAAGTTAAATCTCTTTCCTCTACACAAATTTCAACCACACGGTTTTTGCTTTATTATTCTACATGTAAGTCAAACTTGGTCAACTTTTATGACTTTTATGGGACGGAGGGAGTATATTTAGTATTTACAAGTTACAACATTGGTCTCATATAAAAAATCAAAAAGACAGATAGGAAAAGATCATAAAAGGATGTTCAATTTGATACACTATACATAATAATCCGAGTCCGAATAAAGAAGTTATAGAGCATTTTTAGAAAAACATAAAAACCAATATGAGACAAATGTATAATTGTTCCAATTTTACATTTTTAATGTTTATCCATTTCAAAAAAAATTGAGGGTATTTATATTCTCAATCACATTTTTTACCCGTTCCTATTTTATTTTGAAAAAAATAATGTTTCCACAATTCATTTCGTCCCCAAAAAGAGTATAATTTTGAAATTCTTGTAAAACAAACTATAAGCGATTTCAATCAATTACTCTACATAGTTGTGGAAGGGTAAAAGGTGACCATTCATAACTTGAAAGAGTTTTTTAATTGATTATTAATAAAAATTTGTACCTTACTCAAATATGACTCTTTGCTTGGGAAGGAGGGAGTAATATATATATTTCTAAATTAAGGAAAAAACAACATAATATGACTCTAATATCCCTATTAATGCTTTAAAGTGTTATTGTAACATTAGTAGATGGAGAGGCCTAAAGGCTCATTATAGGGAATAAGTAATGAATCTTCTCTTGATATTCTAAGGTGAAAGTTATTGCTTGCCTTTATTGCCCGACACTTTTTATCACTGTTCATCCCTTTTTTCTGCTCAGAGTTTTACTAAAGTTATCAAAATATTCAAGACTTTTTGAATTTTTATACCTCCATAACATCTTAGCCGGGGTCTTTAAAGAAACAACCACTCTATTCCTTGGGGCATATGTAAAGTATGCATACATCTCACCCTCCCCATACCCTACTTCCGAGTGAGACCTACTAGGTATGCTAGGTTTGGTTTAAGAGTGCTTCTGAAAGTAAAGAAAAAGATAATACCACGTGGGATGAAATTTAAGGACTAGTAGCAACTCAATGACTCTTTTTTTTTTCTTTATTTATTTTCTTGGTGTGGCTTAGAGGAGGAGGATGGAGGCAGTTTCCACTTTCCCGGAGCTTTAAAATGGATCATAGTTTTATATTATACTTTATTCACTTCAAGTGTGCAGTGGACTAGAAACACATAGAACTAATGGTCCTTCTTTGTCTCCATAATAATGTAAGAGTTATAAACCTTGCAGACCTGAGGGTGGCTTCTGATTCTGTTCATCTCGTGATCTTTTAACATAAACTGAGCCAACATCACCTGGCCCTCCAGCAAATTCATAGCATGTGTTGTTTTGTTTATGATTTAAACCCTATAAATAGTAAAATATGATTTAGCTAGTTTCATAAGCTTAATTGAAAATGGTTATTGAAATGAAAAAGAATTTCAAAAGTCCAATTGAATGGAGAAATGATTAATAAAGCAGTCCAAGAACTCTTTAAATGATATATGCACCCATGCTTACGGAACTTCGGAGGAGAATTCAGCTATGCTTTTAATACCTAGAAATTTAAATTAAAATATGGCCAAAGATGAGGAAATGAAACACGCTGATCTTTAAAGGCAGCCTAAGGCACTGTTTGGCAGCTAGTTCTGACACTAGTTCAAACCATTCTGCTTCTTAACAGACTAAGTAGCTTTCCACTTGCTTAAATGGCTGAAATGGACATTACCAGACACTTTTCCTCTCACAAATTTCAGCAGGTTCAGCCAAGACATTTCAGCCAAATAGCCCTTACCAAGCAGGTCCTAAATTGAAAGGTACATAGATAGCGAGCAGAAAATGTTATGAGGAACACTTTTGGAATTCATTGATAACATTTCAGCCTGATAATGCAAATGAGAAAGCATATGACAATGAGGTGTTGGAATTTCATCTCGTTGATCCTTAGAAAATGGAGACAATCCGACATATAACTTTGACAGTGTTTTTCCTTTGTATGAAATTTTAGTGTCAACCAATTTATTATATAATAAAGGGAAAGGGGTCAGATAGGCCCTTGAACTTACATAAAAAGGTCAAATAAGCCCTTATATTGGAGGCTCTATCCGGCCATCACCATTTGGGGCGGTTCCCGGTGGAATTTTTTGATGAAATTTTTTGAGCATCTTATTCATTAAGTCTAGTTTACTCATACCAAATTTCAGCTAAAACTTCAATCGGGAAGGCATTCAAATGAATTCGTGAAGATAACTGCGCAGTTAAAAGCGCAGGTATCTTCAAGAAGACAAGAATTCATTTGAATGCCTTCCCGATTGAATTGTTAGCTGAAATTTGGTATGAGTAAACTAGACTTAATGAATAAGATGCTCAAAAAAATTCATCTAAAAATTCCACAGGGAACCGCCCCAAATGGCGATGGCCGGACAGAGCCTCCTATATAAGGGCTTATTTGACCATTTTATGTAAGTTCGAGGGCCTATTTGACCCTTTTCCCTATAATAAATTACATGCCAACAACCCCAAAATAGTTCACTTGAATCTTACTTTGAGGTCCATATAGTGCAAGGGTGAGCTGAGATGCCCGAGCTTCTGCATTTCTTCAAGGTGATCCTTTTCCCTGAAATTTATATGATCAGACAGATAGACAGTCAAGCACATGATATACCCAACTGAGGAAACCATTCAATTCCACAGATGTAAGAGGAATCACCCATACGACAAATATGGGCCATAGATATGCAGAACCAAGCATCTTCTGCCTAGTAAAGTGTAGAAGGAGAATCTTTTGTCTAATATCGAGATCCATTTAAGAGTCCTTTTGGCGAACCCTTCCCCCCACCATCCTTGACAACAAGTGTTTTCCACCAAACACTAACTGATTTTTACTTAGTTTGCTGAGTCAGCTCATAGTGAAAAAAAGTAGCGCATAAGTTAATTTTTGGCTAAAATGAAAGAAAATGATATTTGAACCTTCACTTTCAAATAGTAGTTTCTTTAAATTATTTAAGAAATATAGTTTCAAGACCAACCAGCCACAAGTTCAGCATACACCATTTTGAGCTTCACCGAACACGCTCTTATATAGGAAATACAATGCAAGGTTGTCACAGTGACCAGGGCACACACCAGCCTAGGAGACTTTAGGAGATTGGACTGAGCACCGTGCGTCGCCTAGGAGACGCCGCCGTGATAACCATGATAAAGCAGCAAATTTCTCACTCGACAGGGTTTTATCAAACATAACATACATATTAGTACCTCTTCACTAGCTCTTGTTCAAATCCTTGACCGGTATACTTCTTGCCTCTTTCATTCCACACATTTTGTGAACTAATAACACCCCTTTTGTTATTATTATTATGATAAACATGACTAGCCAATTGGGAATATGCCTCGTTTGTAGGGTGGTGTTTGTTGTCGACTGATAGAGAGCTGGCTTCAGATTCTTCTTCTCTACCTATTGACAAAGGATGTTGAATGAGCATACTTCCATGCCCTATCTCAACACATACCATATTTGGTTTATCACTCTCAAGGATCAAATCCTCTTCAGAAGATCCAGAAGGGAGAAAAGGTTGCTGTTCGTGCAAAATAGTGTATAGATCTTTGGTGAGCTTCTCAACTGGAGATGGCTTTGAGCGAGAGACACATGTCCGCTTCCTACAAGGTACTGTTGAATCCCACCCATTAGGCTGAGCAGGACCTGAACACACAACCAACTGTTAACTTATTGATGGAGGTCACTCAACAAAGTATATAGCAAATGAATTTATGTTTTTGTAAGATATAGTGTTATCAGGGAAACAATGGAAATAGACATAGTATAGTGAAATTGCAGTGATAGGAGATGAATTTCAGCCTAAGCAATTGCCTAAAAACCTGTACAAGTTTGACCATAATGCTTTGTTTCAGAGGCTATATCACTATACCAATGATTTGCATGTCAATTTTACAATAACAAAGAAAATCAAGGCTAGAGTACCTCTCATGAAGAACGTTATATTTGTAGGGACGACAAGCACATTTAAAGCACTTTAAAACTACATGTAAACCTCACAATTGGAGTTATGTGTGTCGAGTCAGATTTTTCAACGAGGCTTGAAAAGGAGTGACTAAATTGAAAACGTGGTCAATGCCATGGACCATAAAAGCCGCTATATTTACAGGGACCAAAACTATATTTAGGCCCCATCTGGGATTGTGTTTGTGTTGCAAAAATATCCTGTTTCTCCTAGTGGAGCCACAAAGGGCAGAAGGGCCAAAACAAATTATAGACTTATAGTTACGGCTAAAAGCTGATTTAAAATGCTAAAAGCCACTCAAATGCAAAAGCAAATCCAAGTTGAGTTTTGCATTTGAGAATTGCGCTTGAGGTTCAAAATTTTGTTTTTAGAGATTTAAACTTTACAAAGTACTTTTCGACCTCAAAGACAAACACTTACAAATCTCAAAAGAAATAATTCTGAGATGTAATTTTGAATAGTATTTTCCTATATGGACATGTATTCAACCGCAACCTCAATCCCAAATAAAGCCTTAACCCTTTCAATGATTGTGAGATAAAAAAATTATCTTAGAAAACCCATCTAGTTGGGGTGAAGGTGATGATGAGAGACTATACCTCATGCAATTGTAATACAAGTTGCAAAAGAACACATTGCTTATGGTGAAACTTAAGAGACACGAAAACCACAGCATAGGTAAGTGTGTGTATATATATAACTTACCGGTCATATCACTTACTTCAGTGCCAACAAATTCCGCCCAGCTCTCAGTGTTTGAGACAGCAGAGCCGGAACTTGACCTGTTGCTTGTATCCTCAACTAAAAGCTTGTGCAAACCGTGATTATGATCAGGAGGAACTCCAACTGTTGGATGTTGCTGATAATGATTCTGCTTTCGTTTCATAACCACCTTTTCTTCTTTGTTTCTAAAGGGTAATGGTTTTCCCTTAGACCCGTTGCAGGTATCAGAGTCATCGAGATCCGTCCTAGAATGCATAGGGGTATAATTTGCCAATGTTCCTTTTGTTCTCCAACGCGACCCGCATGCATTGCATAGAACTGGCTTTTCTGGAGGCCCGTTACGCCAAAGTGGGGTGCCTAAATGTACGTTCATTGCCAGAAACAAGTCAAAGTAGTAAATTTAGGGAAAAAATGGAGGGCAGGAAAATATAAGACTAAAACACTTAGAGAAGTAGCATAGTAGACAAGTACTCTCTCTGGTATGCCCAAAAAATAGTCTTCTAAGAAAACTTAGTTTTGACCCAAAAAAGGATCATATTTCAGCAAAAGGAACAAATCTTAGTGTAATTTAAGTAACAGTGTCCCAAACAAGTCAAATTTAATTAAATGAACACATAAATTAAAAATTTAAGTAAACGAACACATAAATTAAAAATAGCTAGAATATAGATTTCCAATAGTTGCACCTTAGTAAAAAAACTAAAATTATACCTTGGTGAAACACGCCTCGTTCTTGGGGGGGGGGGGGGGGTAAGTATACATTTTGAACAAAGAAAATATGATGGAGTCTATATATAATGACAAGCATAACTGACGAAACATGCATTTATATGTAAATACATACATTTATGTATGTATGTACTTTTTCCCTTTTTGGTGGTTTTGGACCTTTTTGTACATCCTTATTGCTGCATATTTAGAATGAGCAGAAAGCATCAAAATTTTTGTGCAAGGAAAGTCAGAACATGGGTCCACGTGAAATGAAAGTTGCAGTTTTTACTAGCAACATAAGGTCAAGATGAGATAATACCCCCACTCAAGGTCCACTTCCTTTAGAAAAAGTTATGATACTTGTGGCATATAAAAGAAAAGCAGGGTAACTAAAAAGGGACAACTATGCTAGGGAAAGAGCCATCATGAGAAACCACAACGCAATGAATCAAGAACATAACAACAATATTTAAAAAAAGAGAATTTCTCATAAGAAGAACCCAAGACCTATAAAGGTCAAACATGAAAGGTGTGCTCAAAGGCAGGACATAAGTGTTATTAGGGAGAAAAAAGTAGCCCGGGTGTGTGATAAGAAGGTGATTTGATTGCAACAAGTTCTACCCAAGAGTATATTTGTTTCAAGATCAGATAAGAGTTAAGACCATAGAAATGACAAAATCACAAGAAACTTCCCAAAGATCAGATGATATAATGAATAATGTAAGGTTGCGCAGTGCATCCATCTAAAGAACATTAACTCACTCATAAACATCGAGAGTTCAATTTCTGTAAAACCAAAATGCAGATTCAAGAGCCAGGGAGAGTACATTTACTACAAGATTTAGAAATGCTGTAGAACATTAACCTAAATTGGTCATGCTCCATGACGTGCATGTTGATTTGACAACATCAAGCTTGTGATAGGACACGGGAGTAAACCTACGACGATGATGTTTTGGATTTTGACCTCAATATTCCTCGTAAGAAGGTTGAGAAATGAAGGACATTTGATGTCAAACTTCAGTCACAGTGATATTTTGCTGGTTCGACCTAATTCTAGGCAATTAATCGGCACTACAAAGTCCAAATTCAATGTCACCAACCCTGACTATGTTGGGATTAAGGCGATGGTGGTGATGGGAATAGGAACATTATTGCACCTAAACGCTTCTCATTGCATTTGGTTAAGTAAATAGCATTGGATTGGATTTCCAAAGTTTCGCAATTATTTGAGATAGAAGCAAATTTCACACGTTCAGAGCTCCAAACCTTCAGAGAATTAAGACCCAAATATTTCTGGGTAGGCATGGGTCATATATGTATCCTATATAAAGATGAATAAACGCATTGCAGAAACATTTTCATTGCAGTTACTACACCATGCCAATGCAAAGTACCGTACGCACATCTGTATAATGCAAAATCTAATATAAGAATTCAAACCCATTTACAGAAAAAGACAAGACCAGCATCAGAAGCACACAATCGAAATATTCTCAATTCAATCATTTCAAATATTCAAAAAGGATGAAATTTTCAAACTCACTTGTAATACCACAGTGATAGCAAGGTCCTTGCTTTCCCATATCTGTGAGCTTTTTTTTTCCCAGAAATTGAAATAGATTAAAAAAAGACACAGCTTTATTCAAAAAGATTTTTTGAAAGAAATGGAGATTTATATGCAACTACGACTTTGATTGTCCCCTTATTGCTCTTCTGCAGCACATATAGAAATAGTGGGTATGATGAGTTTCTTCTGCAATAAGACTAAAGAGAAAGTTTATACAGAAAATACCATACCCCAAGACTCAGAACACCCACTGAAAATAACAGTAATTCAAAAATATTGTTAATTTTTTTTTAAATATATATGCACAAATCAGTCTTGTATATGAACAGGTGACAAAGGGACAGCGATTGGGGCGTTAAAGTTTTAGCTGATGGTTTTCTGTACAATTCAATGGAAATGGGTAGGAACCATTGTAGGAATCTAATACTCGTAATAATAAATGGTAGGAGAAGGAAGGTGAAATGGGGAAGGAAAGGGTTAGGAAGGTTTTTCTCTACTTCTTTTCCTAGTTTTACTTTTCCTATGTTCACATTCAGCATCCATTCATTATTTTTTTTTATCATATAAAAAAGCCATGACTTTTAAAATGGTGCCTCAGGCCCTTTATTGTACAAGAAGCAACCTTTTGCTACGTTGTCAAATGAGATCGACAATCAACCCAGCCAAATGGCCCTATTGCGGGTTAATACGGTCAATCATGACCACAAGTTAAACGCTTACTACAAATACAAAAGAAATAATACACTTTATTAAATAGTGCAAAATCAGTAATGTTACAATTAAAAAGGAACGAAAATAATACGCAGTATCATTCTTACTAATCACAAAATTATATTTCTTCACCTTTATAGGGAAAAGGTGCAAATAGGCTCATGTACTAATAAAAAAGGTCAAATAAGCCCTTATTTAGGAGGCTCTGTCCGGCCGTCGCCATTTGGAGTGGTTCCCGGTGGAATTTTTTGATGAAATTTTTTGAGCATCTTATTCATCGGGAAGGCATTTTGTATAAGTCTAGTTTACTTATACAAAATTTCAGCTAAAACTTCAATCGGGAAGGCATTCAAATGAATTCTTGAAAATAACTGCACAGTTAGAAGCGCGGTTATCTTCAAGAATTCATTTGAATGCCTTCCCGATTGAAGTTTTAGCTGAAATTTGGTATGAGCAAACTAGACTTGATGAATAAGATACTAAAAAAATTTGACCTTTTTTGACGACGGTCGGACATAACTTCCTAAATAAGGGCTTATTTGACCTTTTTTGTTAGTACATGGGCCTATTTGCACCTTTTCCCTTGTTTTGACTAAAAAAAGAAAAAAAGAAACATGTATTTTATTTTTATATTTGACCAACAAAAAAATTCAAAATTATACCTTGATGACATTTGACTCTTTTAATGATGTTAATGTAATACTTCTTCCGTCACACAAAAGTTGGCTAAACTTGATACCACGTGCAATAAGATAGTAAAAATGGGGTGATTTATTAAAGTTTTTTGTTTTTTGAAAAGTATAAAGGGAAATGTGTGACGGAAGAAGTATTACATTAACATCATTAAAAGAGTCAAATGTCATCAAGGTATAATTTTGAGTTTTTTGTTGGTCAAATATAAAAATAAAATACATGTTTCTTTATTTTTTTTTTTAGTCAAAACAATTTGGCTCTTTTATGTTTGACAATGTATAATTTTGACCTTTATTCTAGATTTATTGGTGTAGTTTTGTTTAAGTTGTTTTTAAATTGATACTAGTGCACTTTTCGGACATTTAAGACGTGAACCCAATTTAGCCTCACACAAATACATCCTACATTTAATGTTAGTTTTTTTTAATCCGGAAGGTAAACCACCAAAATCGGTGGAGCAAATGTCGGGGAACATTTGCTAGGTTTTATTAAGAAACATAAGAGGTACAAAAGAAGAGGGGTAGTAGGCATGTACCTCTTCAAAAAAGGGCATTCCCCTTCAGGAATACAAAAACAACCATAAAAGAGAAGTTAAAATAAAATTTTGGGAGACTGGGCCTAACCCAAACAATACAATTTAAAAATATCTAAACGATGGAAGCCTAAAAGGATCCCTGTAATAGGCCTGTTTAGCTGCAATTAGCAAATCAATAACCCTGGTAAATACCTCCACTTGGGCCGACCCATCAGAAGCTAAGAAGTGGGCAACTGAATTCGCTTCACGCATTGTATGAGTTAAACGATGGTCTGAAGCAAGCCTGTTTCCTGAAACTCTCTTCTCCATCTACAACCATTCGAATTCCTCAGGTAAGACACCGCAAGTTCAGAATCAGTTTCCACCTGAAAATCCTTGAAGCCAGTCTGTGTCGCCCATTTAGTTGCGAAGAAGATCGCCTAGATCTCTGCATCAATTGGATTAGAAGCTTTCAGCGGGAAGCGAAGAGCAAAGGTCATCTCTCCCAGCTGATTTCGCATAACTGCTCCACCTTGCATTTAATATTATTTGTGATTGTTTATGACATAAATTGTTAGTATCTTTTAGTCTTATTACTTTTCATATTTATACCTTGGTATTTGCCATTTATTTTATACTACTAATGTTCTTTTTACACTTTGAAAAATGTATGAGTATGCCCCATTTCGAACTCGTTGTGGTTATATGATGCGATTGAATGTCTGATGATATATTTGTACACATTTGTCTTGTGATTTATTAATATGTTTTCTTGTCATCATTAATCGAGATTGTCCTACATATATCACGCTTTGATTCATGTTTGTATGAGCTGGCAATAGGTTTTGACCATGATTACCTTCAAAAAATCACAATATAGAACAATTCGAACATGTCCTCAACACAACTACATTAGGATCGTGACAATGGTAATGGAGATTCAAGTCTTCAAAATGCCATTAACACGATCATGTTCGTTTCCGAGTCATGAAAGACAATTTTCAACAAGTGTTTCCATATCCTCCTTATTAAGTATTCCCATATTTTATATGCTTTTGCACGATATATGTAAGGTATGATAAGAGTGTTTATCCAATAGTTATATTTATGGGAAACGTGTGGGGGTCATGACTGCTAATTACACACCAAAATGTGTTTTACCTAATTAATGATGAACAAACATGTACTCTGTTTATGTACTAGTGTATGTTCGGTTGGATCGTGTAAAGATCTTTGCATATAATGTTTTACAAATAAAAAAATAAATGGAATGTAAAGCTTTTATCAAACATGAAGGGGCTTGGGATAGTGAGATGTGCTAAAATAAATGTTATGACCTTTTGGTATGATTTATGTTCTTTGCTTTAGTGGTGTATTTGTCACTAATAAAGACTTAAAATTAGGATGAACTGATATTTATACGTTTTGACATAATTTGTATAATATTGACCTTATTTCTAAATTTATATTTGGACGATCTTGGGCTTGAATTTGAACTTTATTTGAATTACGATTGAGATTCAGGGTTTTTTGTTTTGCTTTTCATGTAGTCCATGGTCTACTTCATACTTCACAAATTAAGCACTCTCTTTTCATTTAAAAAACAGTTAAACATTCTCTTTTTGGAATATTTGTAACGTTTTCGCGATTCTAATAAATATCATGAGTTATTCGGACTAAAGTGTCACTCTTTATCATTTAAAACGAGAGCTTCTCTCTCTAGCGGAAAACCCTACCACATCGGCGGTCATTATAGGGCCTCGCCATCATTAGCAAAGGTCCCATTCCGTTCTCCAATAGGGATATAATCGGCGGTCGTTGTCTAGGTATATCCTAGGATTTGTTCCGGCGGCTGTTTTTGGCTTGATCCGACAGAGATTTCTTCTAGTTTTTGGTTGAATTAATCCGGCGGTCGTTTTGGATTGGTCCGACAGGGGTTTTCTACCAGCTTTTGGTTTGAATTGATTTGGCGAAAGTGCGTTTTGTTCTACTCGCAACAGCATGAATGAGATGAATCGGAATTGACAAATTTGGTTCCGACCCTCGGCACGAGTGATGAACAGACGGGGAGTGATGAAGGGCTGAGCAAAGGAGAATACAGATCAGCGGTCCGTCCCCATCCTGAATCGCCACCTTGGATCGATCGAGATGTCAGGGTTTGGAAGATGATACTTCAAGAAAACAGTCAGGAAGGAGTTTGAAGTATTTGTCAGATATTTTATTTTTTTTATCTTATTTTCGTGTCATGTTTGTTTACAGTGTTTCATTTTTTGCGATGATTTTAATTTTAGGTCTACAATAATGATTTTCAATTCTGGTAGATATTTTGTCGTTAGAAAGGCCTATATATATAACTAGTGATTGTTTTGTTACACCCGCTTAGTGGTTAGCAATTCGTATTGCTCTTTTAGATGTGATCGTCTCAGAGTCTAGTTGTGGGGTTGATTGTGCTAGTTGGTTAGGGATAATTGTTATGAGGTTTGGTCTATTTGAGTTTGCCGTAGCAATTGATTTTAATGTAGGCGTTGGTTTTGATGATAAATAACAAATAAATATCATGAGTTTTCATATTATCTATTCTTACTAAAGTAATAAAATTTTGTGAAGAAAAAAACTATAAAACTCACCCTTAACATGTAAACATAAACCGTTATACTTTACTCAACTTGATACATTTTAAAACTGATACGGACTTGGCTAAAAAAACTAATACGGACTCGATTGGCAGTCCAGACAGATACGGAACAAGGCCCGCTACTGTGCGAGACCTAATGGGTTGGGTTTTCCGGTCCAGGGTCAAAATCGGGTACCCGACCGAACAAAAGCAATACTCGGTACCTGAACCGGGCAATTTCGGTTATCCGGGACTAGTTATCCCAAACTGGCCCAGATTCGAAGTATAACAATTCAAGCACAAACCTCATCAAAAGGTGCAACATACAGAGTGGAGGGATTACAATTTTCATTAGAAAAGGATATGTGTGTGTAGAATTTGGATCAAATAAAAAATGTCTTAACGTATAAAATGAGAATTAATCTCAGCCGTCCAAAATGTCGATCTGATGCACAATAAGCCCTATCTGATGCACTTTCGAATAGACCTTATTTGATGCACCTTTCGAAAAGTGCATAAAATAAGGTCTATTCGAAAGTGCATCAGATAGGGCTTATTGTGCATCAGATCGACAGTTTGAACGGCTGAGATTAATTCTCATTTTACACGTTAAGATGTCTTCTCATTTGAACTCATCCCTACACACACACACACACACACACACACACAGAGAGAGAGAGAGAGAGAGAGAGAGAGAGAGAGAGAGAGAGAGAGATTTGGAGTAGTTCTAATGAGAACCAACCTACACTATTTTTAGGCTCGACCTGGCCCAACTACACTATTTTTTTAAAAAAAAATTAATTAAATGGGTGGTACAGACCCAGGCCTGACACTATTTGGGCCGGGTCCAGTCTCAATCCAGTCGCATCCCCTGGCCGGCACCGGGCCTGAATTCCTTAGTCCCAAAGCCCGCCCAGCCCGGACCCAACCCAATTTGTCCTAGTCCATCCCTAATTGTGGGAAATGAGAACACATCTTAACCACTGCATATTTCAGTTTCACCAACTGTAAAACTCAATTTCACATAATAAAATCCAACATATCAGG